CAAAGTCAATGGACTAAACTCATCAAAGTCATAGGGTTAAAATTAGCTCAATGTGTCTTTGTTGTTTATAATGCAAATGGTGGCTATTCACAAAAGAAGTAACAGGGAGTCTGTAGATGGATTTGTTTCTTTGTTACCTCACTGAGCAGCTGGAAGGTATCTCCATAAAGAAATATAATATATGACTTCTGGTGAGCCTGAAAGAAACTCTATCCTCCTATTGTGTAAACTCTTGGCTGCCCTTTTCCAAGAAGGTGATGGACATCTTTGTGCGAATGCTTATTAACAGCAGTTAAAAACATTATTAAAAGCTCACAGATGCAATTTATTCCAGGCAGCACAATAAACCCTAAAATAAATAAAATTGTGGTTATTCCATCTGAAGTCAGAAATTTCAGCATTTGCACTGCCTAACACCTGCTGGAGGAAAGTAGAACAGAACTTCAGTGAGGGACGGCTGTGGCAGCTGCGTCTGAGAAGGGAGGAATGACTGTAACCCCTGCAAGCTGTGGATGACCAGGCCCAGTCTCAGGTGCCTTTGTCACAGCAAATGCCTGCAGGGATCCAGTTTGCCTGGGAACAGCTTTCTGCTGCCAGCAGCCATCTCTGTGGGATGAAGACATCTGACACTGATGTTAAGTGAACAAAGCCTTTTGAAGCAACTGAATCCCAGTGCCACAGGCATGTTCTGGGGTAAAAACAGATGGGGGTGGAGGGAGGGGGGAGCTCAGAACAAGGTTTGGGAATGATGTATTATTAAGCTGTTAGCAATATCTCCATGTTCTGGCTAAACCTCTCTGAGTGCTGCTCCAGCTGCTGCTGTGTTCTGTCAGCAATGAGTTAAATTCTTAGTGCAGACAAGGCTGAAGAGGTGCACATTCCTTGATTTTCAGCTTTGCAAACACCTTTGACCAACATCTCAAAGTGTGACAGCCTGAGAACATATTAATGAGCAGCTTCTTCCCAATGGGAACTGTAATATCAGCATTTCTTCTCCCCCTGTTGTTTCCTGCTGCTACCATGAGCAGTAACACTGCCCATGATAGTAGAGGTGCATGAGCAGCTCAAAGATGACTTCAGCAGTGTAGGTACCTAAAACAGCCAGGAGGGCTTGGGATATGGAAGCAGATATCCCAGCCTTGGAATGACAGCTCTCTTTCATCTGAAGATGGAGTTATGAATACAGCATTTATTTTTGTACCATTAAATAGAAATGGTAACATAATGGACCAGCACTTCTGCTGTTATTCTGCAAGTACAGAAGTACATAAACTGAAAGGCCAGAGGAATTATTCTTTTGCAGTTATCCTTAATTCCTCTGTAGATGTAGAGGTATAATGGGAAGCCAGAAATGGACCTCTACAATGACCTACTTAACCCATGAGAATCTTTCACTAGAAGAAGGCGTGGGCACACTGTGTCAGAAATTATATACAGTGATAATAATATATTAGACAGGAGATAATGAGACTTTCAGGGATTCCTAAATGTATTACTTGTTAATTTAGGAGGTACCCTGAGTGCAACTTATAAGGTGGTACTAATTTAGAAGGTATCATGAGTAACTCTGCTTGCTGGAGGGCTGAAATGTAAATCCCATTGTGCAACAGAGAAAATGAAAATGCTCCTTCCATTAAGTCTGTGATCTGTCCTGCACTTGCCACAGGGAATAGCATAATTTAGAAAGCTGCCTTCTAGGATGTTGAGCAATCATGCCTCATCAGTGAGATCTCTAGATTAAAAATGTGAACATTTTTACATTACTAGAGGGATTATTATATTTTGCTTAATATTTAATATATTTGACATCAAACTACCATGTAATGAGTATAATGTATTAATGTCCTTCTAGTCATATTATTTCCCTGCTTTTATGTAACAGACTCCAACTGCATTTGTTCAGTGATACTGTACAGTCGTTTGATTTATATTCTGTAGTGTCAGGCTGAGAAGAGATTTTAAAACTAATTGTCACAGTCAGGTCAGATCTACCCCCAAGTTTCTATGGATCCTGAAACAGGAGGCTCTCATCAGAGAAGAGTTTTTGCGTCCTTCCTTCAAATGTAAAACTGATGTAGCACCACCTTGCAAGGAGCCAGATGCACCTTCAGGCACCCGGCAGCAAGCAACAACACTGTTTTCTGCCCTGATTGATTCCTTCCACAACTTCCAGTGAATAGATTTTACTATTATGCTGTTACTGCACCTTATGCCAAAACAGACTGTTACCCTGGTCCATCCCTCTTCACTGCTGCACACCTACAGCCCCCACCGTTCTCAGCAGTTCAGTGAAGCTGACAGGAGCTGTTCCCTTGGTCCTGCTTTGCTGGGGTGAATACCTCATGCAAGGAGACTCCCTCCCCCAAAAGCAGTTCTGAGCTTCACACCCCACATGCACAGGAGCAAGGTCAGTCCAAACCATACAAGCAAATTTGTGCCTCCTTACTGGATCCTGTTCTCCTTCCCTTCTTTATTCTACTTATTTTCGTCCTGTCCTGAATTTAAGTGGGTACCTCTTTATGAACAGGATAATTGTTAGTGCTCTCTGTAATTGTGGCTATGCATTGTTGCTCCAGCTTCAGACTGCAGCTTCCCTTTTATAGGACTGACACTAAAGGGAGGGAGGCAGGCATATTTTTACAGCAGAGAGGGAGAACTAGACATAAATCTCACTGTCTATAGCACATGGTAAAATCTGGGGCTAGACAACAGAATCTGTTCTTTTTTTATGTGTTTCTAAATCATTCTGTAGCCATATGACAACAGGGGTCCAAAATTCCTCACTTCCAAAGTAACAGGGCCGGTGAATTTATGGGGGTTTCACGGGAAACAGAAGGGGATCTCTGGAGAATGTCAAGAGAGGACAGGACTTCTTTTTTCTCCATGGTAGTGCACAGACACTTTCCTATGCCTTTAACATTGCAATAACCCTTCAGGAGCTCGTTAAGATAAATGTCCATCTAGAATCATAATGGAAATGGAGGATTTAGGAGGTACAGGGACACAGAAGAATGACAGTAAGTGCAAAGTATGCTCTGCTCTTCAGACTGGTTGCTGCTCCCTGAAGTTTGTTCTTCATTTTTCACTTATTATTTTTGTCTTTTTTTTTTTTTTTTGTTATCCCTCTGTGTAGTTAATGAAGAGAGGACTCTACTAATGATTAACTTGATTTGGAAGCCAAATCCAGAAAAGGAGGGTTGAACTGACATCAGTCAGTTTTACTGATTGACTGAAAAGTCAACTTTAATTAAAAATGTTGAAACTTGTTAACAAGAAGCAAAGAGAGAAAACCAAAAAAAAAAAAAAAAAAAAAAGAAGGAGAAGGAGAAGAGTGGGAAGCAATAGGAAAGAGAAAGCATAATCAAAAGAGAATGGACAAATGAAAGAAAAAGCAAAAGAATTAATGGGAAAATGCAGATCACTACTACAGGAGAAATGTACATCAGTTCTCCTGGCTTCTTGCTACAGTGATGAAATGTCTGGCAACATCCTCTGAAGTTGTAATCCTTTTCCTTTTGTCTTCTTTGTATTTATTAATTATCTGATATTTTAAAATATTTGGTTGCTTGGATCAACTGTGGCAAGGCAATTGTGGGGCTTTTCTGCAGTGCATTTTCTGTTGAATGTGCACACAATCCTAAGTCCCCCTCAGAATAGCCAGCTGCTAGTTTGGGAGTGTACAAGAGAGGAAGGACTGTTGGGGCAGTTTGGTGATCATCACCCTGGCAACACTGGCAAGAGAAAAGCGATGCTTGTCTTTATCCAAATCTAGACTGTGCTAAATGGATGTAAATGTGAAAATTACTTTCTGAGAAAGGCTATTAGTTTTATGGAGAAGTCTTGAAATGTCACTGCTTTGCAATGTATTAGCCTTGCTAAAGAACATTAAATAGCCTTTCTAATGGACACCTGATACATCTGGAAGAACTCTGAGTGAATTTCCATATTCTCCCCTAAGGTTGGTGTCCCTATGATGACTTGGACATGCTGGACAAATTTTCTCACCCATACGCTCCAGTATCAGCATGCAAGTCCAAGAAAGATGAAACATCTTAACTGCTGTAAATTCATAACTTTGAGCCTGATGGTAAATAAATTAAATCTATGTCTGACATGAGCTCTCTGAAAACAAAAATTCACCATTTCTAAGAGCATTCATTTCCTTTCTGTTTTCCAGTCTCTGGGGTGTATTTTAGACCAGGGCAATCTCTGTTCCTCCAAGTGGGACTAGAAAATGCAGTGCCTGAAATCTGTGAGATACTGGCTTTAAGATTTTTCATGGTATAAGAAGAGGCTATGTAGATTCATAGTAAAGAGTGTTGTATTTGCTTACCCAAATAAAATATGGATATTGGTTGGCAGGGTTAAAAGAAAAACATCAGCTTTTTACAAACAATCACCTACTAAAGTTCTTCTAAAGTTAAATAAAATTTTGTATCAACTTTTTCTAGGAGCTGCAATATAAATTTAATGTGAAGATTCCACTTGAGCCTTCTACAAACATCCAAGCCAAAATGGACTCCAGAAGCATCCAGATATATATGATTTTCTTAGACAAGCAGGCTGTATAGAATTTAGCTTCTTCTTTTATGAGATAAAGAACGCATTTCAAATTGTTTACTGTGAGAGCTACAAAACCTTTAATGACAGAAAATGAATGTGTCTTCTTGTATGATTATTGATCAATTTTAAAAAAGACCAAATATGAATTCTTCCATATTTTATATCCCCACATAGATTGATAAAAATGTCACAGAACTTTGTGATATCTAATGGTAAAAAACACAGAGGAAAACTGATGTGTAAGTAATTCAAAAGCAACATAATTAACCATCATATGTTTTAAGACCTGTTTAGATGTTTAATTATCAGCATTTTATTTGCTGCAGAATATGCTGCTTCTCAGTTGGCTCATACATATTCTTCATATAGTTCATTGCAAAGCACGGTAACGACCTCCAAAATGCCTCCAAACATACACACACACAAAGGCACACACACATGGTCAGAGAAATTTCATTTAATGAATTGAACCCAAAGTTGTTATTTTTATGGCTTCATTTGTAGGTAGACAGAACACACAAATGCCATTCTTCACCGTGCTATTTTCAAACTGGAAAGGGAACATAAGTGTGCTGAAAGATATAGAGGACCCCTGTGCATAGCAATAGCTGTGGAAAGGCATTATCTTAACCAAGTCACACTTGGTTGAATGAATTTCCCAAAGTGAAGGTTTTATTCTTCTGTATTCTTCAGCTCTCCTATCAGAGCCATTCACAGGGCACTAGATTACGCCGGAGAGACTTCTCTGTTTACACAAACAATTTAGGAACCAATAATAGCCTGTGTTGTTTTCTGTAGTAAAAGTATGTATACATGCAAGGGCCAGTACAGAAACCTGTATATATATAGAGACTTTCATTATGTTAAAAAAAACCCAAAAAAACCGGATAGAGAACAAGCAAGGAAAGTATAATGATAACAACCATATTTTCTAGGTGGAAGCAATTTTTTACTATAACAGCTTTGCTTTACTCACTTGGTAGTTTCTTTTAGCTAATTTTGGAATGCTGTTTCTAAAAAATACAAGAATTCTTTTAAACATGTCCTGCTTACAGCTGTTTTGAGGTGGAACATTTTGATAGCTAGGGAGAAAGGATTTCCTGACATCAAAAACATTTGTCACAGGGCAATGTAGGTGTGTTGCTGTTTCTCTGACACATCTCAGCAAATCTGGATGTTATACTGTGCTAAGAGATGGTGCTTTGTGCCCTCTGCACACATGCTGCAGAGGCAAGGAAGGCCAGGAAAGGGAAGGCATTTGGTACCCTACAGCTTCACTGACCTTACTTCACATGCTTAGATTAGTCTGTAGATGACCTGGAGCTCTCTGCATCCATCTCTCCCAATCAAACATGGAAAGAGTGTCTGGAAAATAACCACTGCCTTGCCTGATACCTCGAAGGCAAGCGCATAAAGCTGGTGTCGTGAGCATGACACCAGTTTGGGGTATGTTACTCATCCTGTCACCAGTGGTTGTGGAGTCTGTCAGGCTCCTCTGTCCTGCACCCGTTGTGTAGAGGATGAGAGATAAAACATCTCTCTGTACATTTTGACACCCACCCACACAAGGCAATGCTGTTTTTGCAGGAAGAGAAAAGCAATTCATTGCTTCTGTGAACATTCCAATGATGCAAAGGCTGGAGAGCAGAAAGAAAATGAAGCAATACATATTTCCCTCAGAGAGTTGTATCAAAGGATTAATTTTTGGTTTTTAATGTCTGGGAAGTATAAATTAAGAGCAGGTTTTCCATCAATGAATTTATGGTATCTGAAACTCCTCTAGGAGACCTAGGAAAACATATAGCTCTGCCCTTTGCTCTTCTTTTCACTCTGCCTGGATAAGCTCACTTTATGAGGCAGCATAATTTGCAGTGACCTTTTCTGAAGCTGTTGATACACTTCCTGCTTTGCTGGAAACTACCATTTAGCCATGCGTGATGTGACTCCACATACATTGGAGCATAAATTTCAGGTTTTGTCCTGTGCTGTAGGCAGCTGTGCTGGTGCAGGATACTATTGATTTTGCTGGGCAGTGCTGACGGGTGGTTTTTGAAGGCTGCTTGGCTCTTGTTGCACCACAGACAAATGTATGGAATCAGTAAGGGAGGGTCATCTTTTGTAATTATTATTCTGCCTCTTACTTGTACAGAGGAATGATCATGCAATTTTATAAAAGGATTTTCAGACTTACTCCACATGCGTGTATTAAAGCCTACCTCTGTACCAATATATCTAAAGCCTTATGCCCATTTAAACATTTACTGAGGTCTTAATTCTGGGTTTTCCCACATATAAGGGAAGAGCATATAATCTCATATAAATACAAGCCCTTCTAGAGCCAGAATTTTCCTTCATCTGTAACTACTTCAAGATTTCAGCTCCCACATGTGAGAATGGCAGAAGAACATGCAAAACAATAATATACATGTTTTCTTAATATTTTATAAATTATTATATATTTATAATTTTACATAATTATTTTCATGTGTACTAATTAGAACTGTGCCAGGCAGTTCAAAACACTCCTTGAATTACTCAAGGACTGTTGTCTGAAGGCTGTTCAGCAAATTTACCCTTGAAATTTGGTGAAATCAAATAATTTTCTCTTCCTTCCTTCCTTCCTTCCTTCCTTCCTTCCTTCCTTCCTTCCTTCCTTCCTTCCTCCCTCCCTTCCTCCCTCCCTCCTTCTTTCTTTCCATCTCTCATGTGATGAAGGCCTTTGAGGCTTTCTTCTTCATTGTTTAAGGAAATAAACTAAAGTATCAATGATTTTTCTAATTTAAAAACTTATGTGCTGTGTTATGTTTTTTCAAGTAACGTACAGGCCTAGTGAAGTAAATAACAAGTACAAATCTCTCCAGAGTCAATGTAATATTTTTCAATGTAATAGATTTTTCTTCCTTCACTGATTTAAAATTATTAACTGAGAGATCTGGTTTCCTGAAGCTACCTGTAACATAATAAAAAATTATTTCATTTATGTCCCAAAAAGTTTGAATTTGCACAATGCATATTCTCATAGTAAAATGACTAGAAACTGTTCTTTATGTTGACAAAAAAGGAGGATTTTGATGGAAATGAAAAAAAAGTATGGAGAAAATATTGGGAATTTGGCCAAAATAAAAAGTTGACATATTTTTCATCCAGATTAATAATCACAGACTTTTAAATCTGAATTTCAAGATGTTTCAATTGGACTCAGAAAGCTGTTTTGAAATGCTGCATCCTGGAAAATTTCCACATCTTGGAAATTGGTCTTTGTAGGTTCTTGCTGCTTTGCTCATGTAATGGAGTGGTGTTCCTGGCCAGGTGACACGCCCCAAGTGGCTGCTGGGGCGAGGCAAGGTGTTTGGGAATTTACCAGTCACAAGTGACATTAAGAATTTGGCCCATGTGCCAGAGCTGGCAGGTCGCCTCAGAGCAGCAGGTACGAGATATTTCAGCATCAACTTCCAGTCAGGTGTTAGTGCAACACTTCAGAAGAAATTTTTTTTCTTTCAGTCAAAGGCTGAATCACTGACTTTGGTTAGGCCAAAAGCCTGAAGTCTTCCAGTTTTCAAAGGCTTTGCTTGCTGACTAGACTTTCAATTTTACAGAGAATACAGCTTTCTTTTCAATTTAAAATCAGAGTAGGTGGAGCCTTTTCACCAGATCTGACCAAATGTACAACCAGTGATTGATGACAGCTGAGAAGCAGATTCTATAGCCCTAGTGTATATTACATTTATCCCAACCAACTTGACCCCTGACTATATTCTTTCTACTTTGTTCTTGTTTTTTTTTTCCTTTCTTTTGTCCACCTCAAGAGTTTTTCTAAGCACCTTGAGAGCTTCTCTGAGTGACAGCCATAGAAAAGCTACTGTGCCTGGAAAGGATTCTTTCCACGAGTGGATTCCACATGTTCCATTCCTTTGAAGAACACTACCACAACCAAAAATAATAGATGCATCAAAAGTTATACTGCTGTGAGGCTTAGGATGACAAAACCTCAGTGCTTACTAGAAACAAGAGTAATATTCCGCATGCAGTCCTCTGAAAGGTTATAAAATTAAACTTGTATAATTTGATACACACAGAAGTGGTACTGTTGTCATAGATGATGAGATATGACTACAGGCCCTGCAGCCTTTCAGTTCCTTTTTTCCCTGTCATCTGCACAGCTAATATCAGATGACAACACTGAGATCCACCAATTCTTTTCTAATGCCCTGCTCAAAACTGGAGCCAGCACGTGACATTACAGATTCTATCTCCCTCCTGTGCCCTTGCTTGCCTCTTCTGTCTTCCTCCCACTCAGATGCAAATACATATGTCACTATTTGCCTTTCATGCATGTTTCTATACAATAACAGTGGCATACAGTCTTTTCTTTTTACATGAAGAATTCAGAGCACTACCCTATCATGAGATATAATTTTCTGTATCTCTGAGAAAGGTATTTGTAGGGGCCTTGACTGAGGAATGAAAAAAAATACTAAAGCAGATCAGTAGAAATTATTTTCTTAATGGTGAAATCTGAATTATACATTAGAGCACCATTTATTTAATCAATTTTATTATTCTGTTTAAAAAGGCAGTCACTTTTATGTGTTTCATATGCTTGCAAAGGTTTATTAGCTTGAGTAAAAGGTCATTATTATTCAATTGAATAATTTAGTTTTAAATTATTGGTATTGCACTTCATATTATAACCGCTTTTGCAGATACATTTGATTATGTCAAATTTGCCTTTTAATCCTCTGTCTGGAGATCATTTTCTTGAATTGTTCTGTGTTTCTCACCCTCATAGTGGTATCCTAATGAACACACAGAGTCCAGCCTCATATCTTCCTTGTAAATTACCGTGCATACTTCTTCTAGTCAGATCACATCAGAGGCTATCCGGTGTCATATAATCCTGGGTACTGACATGTGGAAAATCTTTTCAGGTGATTAATGCCATAGGCATCTAATTTTCCTGCAAAGCAATATTGCAGTGTTTACACGAATGCCAGTCTTAAGGATATGAAATGGGCATTTAGAAAAGTTAATAATCTGATCATAATCCCCTCCAAGAATTATCTGTTGGTATTTCTAAAAATAATTGCAGCTTTATTCCTTGTCGCTAATGGAATCACGCATTAATTTATTAGATGCATTGTTCATTAAAAACTTGGAATTTTGCATGGGTGAAATAAATATATGTAAAGCTACACATAAAATACATTTGCATTTGAAACACATACTAAGTAACAAAAATTCACAAAATATTTGTTTTATTGCTTTGTTTTCTTAGTGCTTGAGCAAAAATACCCTTCAAAATTGTTTCATGTTTGCTAGAAACATAAGATTTGCCCTTGACTGCATACTTGGAGACTTTGGTTTCTGGGCCTAACACTGAAATTCTCAATTAAGATAACAAATCATACACAAAACAATCCAACACAATAAAATATCAAGTCAGGCAGACCCAGGGTGGAATATTCTGTGAGCACCAATTCCTCATTGCTGGCATTCAACATCACACCAATAATGTCAGTGTGACCAAAGGTGGTTTACTCACATGTATCTATGAATTACATAATTGTCTGCTGTTATTAGGCTGCTCCTACCTCTGCTGAGGAGTTTTTCCCTCAGGCAGGCATTGTCCATTAACTTCACTAGAAGCAGGATCAGTCTTTCACAACCTTTCATAATTTTAACAAATTAAGATTTAGAAAATAATGCCTAAGATTTGACATAGGAAGCACTTTAAAAATGGCTTTGAATACTCATAATTAGCTCAAGAATTACAGTCTCACTCCTTTCTTACACTGCCATTACAAGCGTTTATCTCAACTGATTTCAACAGAGCTGTTTCTGTTTTACACTGGTGTGAGGGAACAAAAAGCCCCAAGTTGCATAAATTGTTAACAGCTCTTTCATACTGCCTTTTTATTACCAGATAAAACTTTGATGAAGGACATTCACAGAAGATCAATATGAGAAACCACATAAGACCTGACTTTTACGCTACTGGCTGATACTGAAAATCCCAGAAATAACTATTTGTTTTTGAAGCTCTTACTTAAGGTGATGACTGGGTTGATGCTGCTTTTCCTGAAAGAAATATTTCACCTTTAGGAGATGTACTGCCTCCTGAGTAAAGTTGCTCCATAGCTCGGATTGCAGGATATGGGAAAGGAGAGCAGTTGTACATCTAGCAATGAGCAACTCCATCCTTTGTGTCAGGGAAGAAGCCACAGTCCTTTCTGTGCTCTGTGCAGATGCTGCTCCCAGCTGATGTGAAGCACTGCTCTCAGCATCCTGGGAGGCTCCATGTGAAGGGCTGCTTGTCTCACCAGAGGAAGCAGGAGCTCTGGGGACATTCGGGATCTACTTCCAAAGAGTTGGCAAATTGCCTCGTCACTGGCAATCTCTACCTGTAATTTATATGGGCCAGAGCACAGCTGTGGGGTAAACAACAAATGGTATTGGACTGACCAGCAATATATTGTCTGTGAGCTAATATAGCTCAGGATATATTCACTGCCAAAAGCAAACATTTTCCTTGAGATTCACTTGGGCAGCAGTGTTTGTTTATGTCATGGTTTACCTGTGTATGAAGAAGTGAGCAGGAGTAGAAATGCAATTGCAGTCACAGAGAGAAAGTCTAACTAATATTAATATTTCTTCAGCCTGATAGCTGTCAAATACACATTTCTGCATGTCTGGCAGTCTGCTTTAATTTGTTCCTATCAAATGAAGAGCAAATATTTTATCACAACTGTGTTGTATTTTTTTTCTATAAAAACCCCCAAGTACCACAACAGTGAAGGTTACAGAAGTGGCTATTTTTAGAAAGTTTGCTCTTCCCATACTTAATCAAGACCATCATACTTTACTTGCTTTCCTCCAACTGTTACTAAAGCCATCCATAGCCTTCAAAATCCAAGCATTATGAAGTGGAAATGCCTGTGCAGGAAAGCTCTCTGATGCGATTGAGTCTTGATGACAGGCTTAATCCCAAGCTCAGCGGAAGCTCAGTTGTGCTCCTTTTTGTCCCTGAGGTAGCTGAAGAGGGCATCCAGCCCCCCCTCGACGACCTCGGGCAGGGGCCGGGACAGGGGGTTGTGGGCGATGTGGAGCCCTTTGTCCATGGGGTTCCAGGCAATGCGGCGCAGGCGGCGCAGCAGGTACAGGTCATCTGGGAGGGTCTGTATGGCGTTGTAGTCAGCGTTCAGTAACTCCAGAGTGCTGATGTAGCACAGGGAACGCGGCAGACTGCGTATGTTATTATTTTCCACGATAAAGATTTGCAGGTTGACCAGATACTGGATACTCTCTGCGATGTTTTCCAGCTTGTTGGACCCTAGGTGCAAGAAGTCTAAGCTTCTCAGGGCGAAAATGCAGAGGGGAATTTGAACAAAGCGGTTGTTACTGAGGTTCAGTTTCCTCAAGTTTGTCAGGTCAGTGAAGCTCAAAGGCAGTTGTGAGATGCAGTTGTGTGAGAGGCTCAGAACCTCCAGCTTCCTGCACAAGCTGAGCTCTGCTGGCACTTCTTTCAGGCAATTCATATTGACGAACAAGACCTTCAGGTTCCTCAGCAGCCCAATCTCCTTAGGTAGGCACTTGAGGCAGTTGCCACCCAAGTTCAGCACTACCAGCCTGTCCAGCTTCCCCAGGGAAGGAGGAATCACCACCAGCTGGTTGCGTGAGAGGTTCAGCTTCTGCACCTCATGCAGTCCCCACAAGAAATCGGGCGTGCTGGTCATCCCTTTCATGATGAGGCTCAAGCTGACATAACGCAATCCCCGTTTCAGCAGCGACTTGGGCTCTCTCCCTGCTAGAAGGGCATCTTCCCATGCAGGCAGCTTCGGGCCTTTCCTAAGGAAAACCATGCTCCTTCGCTCCTCGTTCTTTGAGTGCTCAGTTCCCATAACACTCTGGTTCACCCCCGAGAGAACTGAGGTTTTATTCCCCTGCAATATGCAAATGCCAACAGAGGATGACAGCCTGCTGGAGGTGGGAAAGTCAAAGCAAGGAGACAGGGAGGAGCCTGTGAAGTGCATCTCAGTCCAGCGGAACAGTTTCCATAGCTGCTGAGGGAAAGTTTCACTTTTGGGGGCTTATGCTGATCTTGGTGCACAGTCTGTAATGAAACACTTGCTCCTGACTTGTGAGCAAACCTGTTCAATTCAAACTGAATGCCACAAGACAGCTGTCACTGTCATTTGGCCTGGGCTTTATTGGACAGACATGTATCTTCACTGCAAAAAGGTCACAAGGATGCTGTATATAACTTCACCATGTCAGCTTTCTTGGCTATCTGGTACATACCATGACTGCAGGACAATTAGCAAGAGTGATTTCAAAAAAAAACAAACAAGCCAGCTAAGGAAGGAAACGAGCAAAGAAGCCATCATTTCAGCTCAGATTTAAAGGATGTTTTCATAATCACTTTTATTTTGGTTCCTGATATCTCTGAAGTAGCTACCAGTCTACCAGAAAATTTTGCATGCTGCAAAAACACTGATAAAGACTTGTTATGTCAGTCCTTGTTTTCTGCTAAGTTAAACAAAAATAATGTTCACAAAAAGTTCTAGCTTTTATATGTCCTTTGCTGTGAGGATTGACCTCTTTCTTTCCAGAAAGGGTGCCAAATTCACTGCAGCAGTGACATTTTGCCCAGTAGTATCTGTGCCCACTTGGATGATTTCTTGCTACCCACAGCACCAAGCGTGAGCAGTCATACCACACAGTTCTAACCAAATTACTCAGTCCTAAATGTCCTGTGGTACTTTCACATCTATCAACCAGATTTTTAGGGCCTGATTCTTTTGTACTCTAGAAAATGGAGCCTCTTGATGTCCCTTTCCTTGTGAACTTTCAGATCTTCCTGGGCTATTCTGGGGTACAGGGGCACTAGCAGTCAGATAGCTTGAACTATAAATGACATTTAGATGCAAAATAGAGGGGCTGGTGGAAGAGGAAATGAGCAGTGAGGTATAATAATACCCAACAACAGCTGAAGTGAGCTCTGCTGGTGAAAGGAAATTGTATTGCTACAGGAATACATATGCACTAAGTTTAAACTCAAGGGGACCAAAAAAATGATCTGCAAAAACTTCAGGTATCATCCAAACTAGGTGAAAATTGCAACAGATGGTGCAGGGTTTTCAATAGTGCAAGTGCAAATAGTGCACTTTTCAAATAGTGCAAGCCCTTTTCAGGGCTTTTCCTCTCCATCGAATCCATGGTGATGAAGATGTGTTGCTGCCTTCTGAGAGATTTGGTGATGAATGTAGTCTCCCTTACCATTACGTTTCAGAGATTCTCACCTTAAAACCTTGTGTTAGCACCAATGCTAAAGGATTATGCAGAAAACTGCAGCTGGAAGTCAAGGCACTCCAGCAACCACTTTGGAGTCAATCCCCACAGCCCTTTCTTGCTGCCAAGCACCACGCAGTTTCCTTTGAGATGTAGCTCGCAGAGCTACATCTGCTTGGGAAGAGAGGGAACAGGGGGGCATCCCTGCAGTTGTGTCTGACGAGTGGGGTCCTGCACCAGTGAGGACCACAGCAGGCAGTGCGAGATGGTGGGAGCTGAGTGAGCCACGCAATGAAAACCTGTGTTTGAACAGGGCTGAGTGGCATAAAACCGGCTGGTGCCGAGGCTGAAATATTGCATTCTCTGGAGTGCCTGGGTGAGCCTGAAAAAGGCTGAGGCCGGTAGTATCTGGTTAGAGTGAGCTGGCAGCCTGTGAGTCACAGATCCCTCCCTCACAAGAGCTTTTTGCCAGTATTTGTCAGTTTACATACAAATGTTATCCTAATTGCCATCACAGCCATACTGACTCAGTGCTCTTGCTACTCGTCATCCCCACATGCTGCCCAGAGCGCCAGACATAACCCTGACGCTGCAGGCAGAGGAGATGCTCAGGGGGAAGAGGAAACCCAATGGCTTGGGCAAGACTGGGCCTTGCATGATGGGGCCCTAATATGTGGCACTTCATCCGAAATGGGTGGAGAAGTGAAAGCATGAGCCCCTCATGATCTCTGCCTTTGGGATGTCAGCCCAGCTGATGTCAAAAATGCACTTATTATCAGAGAGCATCCATGGATTTGAACGTGGCATTTTGCTTCTGCAGTGGCAAATGCAAAGGGAAGAAAAAGGCTTTTTAGGGAGCATTGGTAAGATTAGTTATTTCCCTTCTTTTTGTCTCAGTTCTGAAATGAGGAACCTGCTGCAGAGAATCTGCCAGAATCTGCCAGAGACTGGCTTTGCTCCCTGTGGCTGGGCTCTCCCCTGTGACCATGGCCCCATGGTCGCTGCAGAGTTCTTTATTCTGCTGGTCACTTTTAGTAACAAATGAAACCAAAGCAAAGGAAGCACAGTATCCCTGTAGTCACTGCCTCCCCCCATGGCTGGCCAGATATTTTTGGATGAGAACATTGTCCCCATCTCCAAAACACACTGGAGTTTACTGCCTGGGGACTTGGCAGCGCCAGCTGTGGCTTCTCACCACAGAAATCCTCGTTTCCTAACAGCGTGACTCAGCCAAAGTGCTCTGTATCCTTCCCTGGCTGTGCATCACACTGTCCATTTGAAACCGGGCCTGTGATACAGCCCAGCAGAGCCTGGCCTGGGCTGTTTCTGGATAGCTTCACCGAGGGATCTCTATCAAAGAAAAATGCTTGTTCTGCTTCAGCCTCACAGCATCTCCTGCTGTATCTCCACTGCCTGCCAGACATCAAACAGCAGCAAAGAGGATTTTAAAAAGAAATTCCACATCTGCAGCTCTCATTGTCCAGTTCCCTTCCTGCCTCTGTGAGTATCATTACCACTGTGTGAAACAAAAGAAAAGAGAAAAGACAAACCATTTCCTATTCTTTGTTCTCCATCAGAAAAACAGGTCATTTGAGTATGTTTGCATTTGTGGAGATGGGAAACTATGAAGTAACCAAATTAAATTTTTCTTTAAATCGAGATAACAAAGCCACAGTGGCCTCATCTGGGCATCTCAGGAACTAAAATTCTGTACAAAAATAGTCCCTTGTCTCTTGGTGTCCTGGAGTGGCTTTGTTAAAACACTTTTCAGTTCCCTTTTCTCTGTGTTGCCTGCTGCCCTGCCCTGGCCCTTGCTGTGCTGCACTGTGAGGATGGATCCATTCCTTTGGAATGCTCTTAGGTAGCACTGACCTGTGTCCACACAGGCTGGCAAATAGCAGAAATTAATTTCATTCATGCAGGTTTGGAAGCCCAAATTGGTGGGCTTTATATGCCACAGTGTACTTGATAATAATTTTGTAGATTAAACAAAAACGTTAGTGTTCAAGGGAAAAAAATAACCCAAAGGTTGTTGAAGGACTTTGTAGTCTAACTAGTATAATAAAAGAAACTGCATTATTAGCAATGATAAAAAACTGGTAAGCTGACAAAAATGACAAGCTATATTTTCTGACATTGTTTGACAATGCAAATTATTAGATTTTTTTCTTAAGAAATCAGGATTGTCAGCCCTAAAAAAATCTGAAGATGAGTTCACAAAAGACCTGGAATGTTACAGTCTATTATCTATGGGATCTTTTATTTGTCTTCAGGTTTTGAGTCTGTAGAACACACTTGGGATACATTTTCTAGCTTTTTTTTTCTGTATCCAGGCAATACTTGCCATAAAATCAATTGTATTGGTTTTAAGCAAAAGTTGAGATCATCACATAACTATTTTTCTATAGGATTTGAGCTTTTAATGAAATATTTGATATAATCATGCTTTTAATAAAACCATAGCTATTTTGACACACTGAGTTTAAATTTTGTTTTGCTGCAAAACTAATCCTGTCATTGTCTTTTAAATTGTTGAGCTTACCATAGGTATCTATAGTTTCATTATCATATATTTATAGGTTCATAATTTATTTTGAAACTAGTTTTATGTCCTCTAAGGAGTCAAAACCTTATATAGTTCCTCTGTCTCAGTATTTTTACAAATGTATTAATATAAGAAGAAATCCTTTAAATCTTTAAAAATAACCATTTCTGAAATGCTGGGAAATTCAACCCACAGTCTTTTGGAAGAAATTTTCTTTTAATTCGTTATCTGGGTCTTAATAAACACCTGTTTAAATGAGGATGAAGAAACTACTTAATACTTTCTGTGACAGAAAGGATGATTTGGCTAAAAAAGGGTTAACTCAATTCATGTTCAGCAGAAAACAAGCAATGCTGGAGAAATATTCATTACAAATAGAGCTACAGCTACTGAACCCTCTTCTCTTTTGATATTTCTTTCCTCTAAAATACAGTAAATAAATGATTTTAAAAGCACCAGTGCCATTCAGACTGTCAAAGAAATCCTCTGGTCTTAGTGCTAAGAAAGCAAATTTTATAGGTTTTTAACTCCTTTGTAGTGGCTTGTTGATCTTGCAGCTATTCTGAAATACTAAGTCAAATTTTAATGGTAATTTGAGATTTATGAGATGTGACACAAGACAGAAACAATTCTTAAGGCAATTTCAGATTTACTGTTAATTTGTTTTTAATTATGGTGCTGTTAACAGCTTTTAATGACTATCTGTCCCTGGAGCTTTCTTGGAATGTTTCATTAAGGTCCCATGTGGAGCTGCTGGATTGCCTGACCCATGAAGAATTGGACCTGGAGGTGAATGACTGCCTGTGCAGGGGCTCATTTTTCTGCAGACCTCTTGACAGAAGACAAGCTTGAACTAAACCTCGTATGAAATAAAAAGAGAGAGATTTGGGGCTGTGTGTTTATGTAGCCTAGAAATGACAGGCTCTTCCTCTTGGTAGTCAAGGACAGCAGCAATTCTTATATGACATGGAATTAGAGGAAGTTTTATTCCTTTTTTGCAAACTTGCTATAATATTTTGAAATTCCAGCAAATACACGAATGACTGTTTTGGCACCTCCTACTTCTGCCACAATTTCCCTCTGTGTACACAAGCCAAACAGCTGGTCTATCTTCTATGTTAGACAGAGGCAACCCATGATCCTGCACTGTGCCATCATTCATGTTCTCTGGGGCACTGTTTCATCTGCTGCCCACAGCATAGTTCTCCCTGGCACCAACGAAACTTGCTTCCTTTAGGTCCTTGCCCACTCCTC